TCTTAATCCATTCACAAAGTCTGTGTCATTTGATTGAAGAGTTCAGTCCATTAATAGTTAAAGTTATTAATGAAAGATGAGTATTGAATCCTCTCATTTTTATTTCTGTTTACATTCTTGATATCATGTTTAAATTGTTCTTTTGAGTCCCATGTTCTGCATTATCTCTAGGGGGTTTTCATTGTGCTCCTCTAAGAGGACTATTGGTATTTGTTGGGATATGTTATTTTGGTTTTTCATGTTATTATTTTTTTTTCTGTGATTTTGACATGTGAATTTCTTTTGTAGTTTCTGATTCTTGTGTGAGATTAAAGCCTTCAAGTTTAGGTCTGCTTCTTTTTGTGAACTTTATGTGTCTTTGTGGTTTACTTTTTGCGCAAGAAAAGCTGGTTCCTCTAAGCTTCCGGTTCTCTTTTAATTTTATATTGGAGTGACCAGATTCCTTTTGTCTTCAGGAGTTCCCACAGAGGCCCAGGTTGGATGAGTATCAGATGCTCTCAGGCTTTCTCCTGGTCTGGATCCCTCCAGGAAAGAGGCCTCAGGAATTTGGAGGTTCGATTGGCCTAGGAGCCAGGCCAAGAAAGATGCTGGTCTAGGGCATCTGGTGACCATTCCACCCAGAGATACAAAGGAAGATGGGGTCGGGAAGCAGCCCCAGGGGCTCCTGGGGACTGCACTAAGGTGCTGGGTTGGTTTGGATGCAAAGGATCAGGAAGAAGATCGGTCAACCGTGGCATCCAGGAAAGAGGCTGGAGGGTTGTGCAGGCCCAGGGAAGTAGAGGGAGGTGAGGGCAGGGCCAGGCCCAGAGTGCTTCTGGGGACCCAAGAACAAACTGAGTTAGTCAGGATGCAAAGGATCAGGATGCAGTGGTGGTTCCCCAGGTGTCTAGGGCGCCAAGATAAGGAATGGGGCACGACCCAGGCTAGGAAGAGAGACCGACGTGGGAGATGGTAGGGTGAATGAGGCTGGTGGAGTCAAGGCGCTGAAGGCATGATTGTGATCGACTAACCCGGGAGAGAGAGCCCTGCAGGTCAGAGAGAGGCCTTTGGGTTCTGCAGGCCCAGGGAAGCAGAGCATAAAGTATATTTTAAGTAATGCCATTTTATGTGGCTGGTTTGGCTTGGTTTGATTTTTTTTTTTTTTTTTTTTTTTTTTTTTTTTTTTTTTTTTTTTTTGCGAGAGCCTCTCATGTAGCTCAGGCTGGTTTTGAACTTGCAGTGTAGCCAAAGTAGTCCTTGATGTCCTGATCCTCCTCCCTCCCCGTGCCCCTTATAATTGCTGGGCTTATATCCATTTGCCACAAAACCTGGATAAAATGTATATTTATATTATTTAATTTTTGTCCCAATTATAAAACATATTTTAGCAATATATAATAAAATTAGTGTCTCTTTTTTTCTTCCAGAAATTTTTATTCATATTGAGGTTAACCAAAATTTTCTGATGGTTTCTTGCATTCAAGGCTTAGTACCATAGGGGCTGCAGAAATGTTCTAAGGAAATTTATCATCCAGTAGGAAAACCACTTGTACAATAAAGGAAAAAGAAACAAAACTTATTTTACTTTAGATTATAGGAAAGTCATGAAATGACTCAGTAAAGTACCTGCCCTGCCAGCATAAGAAATGAGTTCATATCCCCAGCACCCCCACAAAAATCCAGCTGTAGGTACAGCACTGTGTCTATAACCCCAAAACTGAGGGGGCAGAAACAAGTGGATCTTGTCTCCAAATTTAGCTAGAGACAAATTTACTAGGGACATTGTGTCAGAAAATACAGTGATTAAATAAATGGAGAAAAATGGCTGGTGAGACAGCTGTGTAGGTAAAGGTGCTTACTGGCAAGGCTGATAACCTGAGTTTGATCCCTGAAACCCTCATAGTGGAAGGAGAGAGCCAGTGCCCACATGTTGTCCTTTGACCTCCACATGCACACCGTTGCATGTATGTGCCCCCCACACACACACGCGTATACACACAACATCGATGCATGCACAAATGAATGAAAAAAGGTAAAGAGTGATTGAGGAAGACACTCAATATCAACTAACTTCTGGCCTCCACAGACATGTTCGTACATGAATGAGCACTTACACGTGTATACACATATGAATATATATATAATACTATATACATGTACAAATACAATCAAGCTTTATTTTGAAATGTTATAAACTGTTTGTTTCTTTGTTTATTTACTTATATGTTTTACCCTCAGCCTTTGCCAGAGTTGCCTCGTATTCCAGGACTTGTTCTCTCTGGAAGTACATTTTCAGACTGTCTCATGGTGGTGCAGTTCTTACGAAACTTTGGTAAAGTTTTGGGCTTTGATGTGAATACTGATGTTCCAAACCTCAGTGTTCTTCAAGAGGGATTGCTAAATATAGGGGACAGCATGGGTGAAGTACAAGACTTGCTTGTGAGACTCCTCTCAGCTGCTGTATGTGATCCAGGTCTAATTACAGGATACAAGGTAAAAAAATCAAAATATAAAACATTGATTTAAGTTTGTACTGTCAGTGCATTTATAGTTAACTTTTTCATAGTAACAGAAGATTATGTAGATTTATCTAATTGTCTCTATCTAATGTCTCTGGAAGTTAAATGTAGATTTCACTAAGTTATACTTTAGGGCAAACATAAAAGAGTAATTAGTAAAGTCTAAGGAATAGTGGCCTTTCACAGTTACTCTTTATTCCTCTAGCTGTAGGCAAAGACAAAGTTTATTTAATGAAATACTCAAGTGGTATTCATCAAAAACAGAATTCATAAATAATTTAGAGCTTGCATGTATATTCTGAAATTCAACTTTGTATTAATTACTGTAACAGGTTAATCAAGGCACATATAGGACAGCATATTACGACTCTGTATTGGTCAGGAGAAATAAGTTCATTTTTCTCTTATTTCCTTTTAAGATACACAAGTTAGCTTTGCTCTAGATAATACTGTGGAATGATAAACTTCGAAATGTACTATTTCTCTGTATCCTTATTCACTCTATGAACCAGCCAATAAAAGCTATGCCAAAAAGCTAGAAAATAATAGCACTTTTGGTCATTCTTACCCTACCATTATTGACAAAATGTCTGGGTTTTTGGAGACAATAAAATATTTGATTGAGTACTTAAAACTTCTGTGGCCCACCAGTTGTATATACTCTTCTGCCTTCATGAGTTTAAAGTAAGGATTTGACGAGGGAGCAGAAAAATACAAGTACTTTAATATCTATCACACATGTTGACTTTTTATCTCCATTTCAAAATTGTCACCAAAAGCCTTTGTCACTAATATCTAGAACATACAAGCCAATACTTTTCATCTTATTTTTTATGACTGAGTATGATAAACTCTGATTAAAATGTCCAACTTTTATAGGCCAAAACAGCTCTTGGAGAACATTTGCTGAATGTTGGTGTCAATCGAGACAATGTATCCGAGGTTTTGCAGATTTTTATGGAAGCCCACTGTGGACAGACAGAGCTTACTGAAAGCCTGAAGACCAAAGCTTTTCAGGCTCACACTCCAGCACAGAAAGCTTCAGTCCTAGCTTTCCTGATTAATGAATTGGCATGTAGCAAGAGTGTGGTTAGGTAAGCAATTCTTTCCTGTTTTGAATTTGTTTAATCACAAGGGAATACAAATTACTTATAGAATGTTTAGAGTGAGCTGCATCAGTGACTCAGCAGTTAAGAACACTTGCACTTGCAGAGTACCTGGCTTCTGTTTGCAGCACCAACATAGCAGCTCACAATTGCCTGTTACTACACTTCCAGGGGATCCAATGCCTTCTTCTGGCCTCTGTGGGCACCAGGCATACATGTGATGCTGACACATGCATGCAGGCAAACATTCATATATATAAAACAAAATAAATAAATCTTTTCTTAAAAAGGAAGGAAATTCAGCACCAAGAAGAATATTAAAATCACAAATCACTGTTTAGAGATGCCACCAGTTCTATTTTAATATATTTCCTCATGTTCTATTAAAAATTTGGATCATTCTGTATGTATGTAGTCTGTCACCTCTGTTGTTTAATAATTTTGTTAATTGTTTATGCGCTGGAAATTTTTTTTATTTTTTGCTATTTGCCAGAATCCAGAGCCGTCACAGGAATTCAGAACTTTTCTTTCCTTGACATCTTTGAGGACACATGACTCCCTGATTTTCCATAGAAATTTATAGAACAATCCAACCATTTATTTGGTTGTATGCTAAGATAGCCTTAGATTATTAGTTTATCAGTGATCTTATACTTTTTTCTAAAGTACTTAATCTCATTTAAGATTCAAAGTCAGTCCAGCACTCTAGTACTTGTTATTAATGAAAGAGGAAGCAAGTACTCTGGAGTTTCAAGGTTTTCTTCCTGAATAAGTCCATATTCACCCTGTTCTTGCTCTTAAGTTATTTTACAAGTTCTGTTACTTTTAGTCTTTAACCTTTTAAAAAATAAGATCAATCTAAATATTCTAAGCCATGCATTTCCACCATTGCATACTAAATTTTCTGTGTATATCTTAACTATGGTATATTCATATAATTATTAATTATTTTTTATATTCTTTAGAAATATCCCCAGGAGTGTGATAATACTTATTTTATAATAAGATAAGAGAATAATTCTGTTATACTTCAGCATGATAACAAATAATAATAATACTAAGTGGCTCTTTTTAAAAATACACACAAGTAGATGCAATATAAACAATATACTAATGACATCTATCAGAAGAAAGGATCCATTGTATACCTATTACTATCAACAGACATCACATCATTCTTGGTTTCTAGTTGGACATTTATATATGCACACAGATAGTATTTGTACATAAGTATTTATGTACACTTAATGTAAAAATATCCATGTCCTGATTTCCTGGTTGAGTTTGGAAATTATCACTCCTTAAATATATGCAAACTAAAGCAGAATGCTATTTTTGTAAGGCAGTTGCTAGAAAGTATTATATCTTTCTTGATTCAAACTAGAAAACATATCTGGTATGGTTCATGCATACCTTTAATCCCAGGGTTCGGGAGTGAGAGGCAGGCAGATCTCTGTGAGACAGAGGCCAGCATGTTCTACTACATAGCAAGTTCCAGGTCAACTGGGGCTACAGGCAGACCCTGTCTCAAATAACAACAAAGTAGAAACCAGAGTTAATCTCCTAATAATAACATTGTATCCAATGCATGAATGATCACTTCTCAATATAACTGTTTGTGTTTATATAAAGCCATGTATAAGTGTACATGTATCCCAGTAGGGTCATTTGTATCATTTTACTTACCAAAATGTGTATCTTGAATATTAAATGAATGCATTATATAAATGGATGATATCTTTTAATGAATTTTTTTATTGGCAGTGAAATTGACAAGAACATTGATTATATGTCAAACCTGAGGAGAGATAAATGGGTAGTAGAAGGGAAACTCCGCAAGTAAGTCCTGTTCATTAAAATCAATGTATTGTTTTCCTTTTGTATTAATTCTTAAACATATAAATTGGAAAGACAGAATTAAAATTTCACTTTTTCTAAGGGAAAGATAATGATTAATTTAGATGGAATCTGAAATTAATAAAACTTAGGGTCAGAGTGTACAATAGACAAAAAAATAGATTCATTGAACATCATATACTTCAAACATAGAAGAAAGACATTTCTTTTTTCTTTCAAAAAAGTCAAGCAATCATATTTCCTAATGTTGTTATCAAATTGCCTTTGTCTTAAGTAATACCTGTTTGAAACTATCCCTCTTTTAATGATGTTCTCATTGAAGTTTGCTCTTACAAAATCTAACAAAACTTATTCAACATTAAATTTTAATTACCTTCCTGCCAGGAAATAACATGATAAAATTATCCAATCTCTATGTTATGAAAGTATAGTACATATCTCTGCAATCCCAGCACTTGGGAGGCTAAGGCAGGAAAATCAAGAGTTTGAGATAAGCCTGGGTTACATAGTGATACCCATTTCAACTTTAAAAAAAAGAAGAAGACGAGCCAGGTGTGGTGGTGCTCGCCTGTAGTCCCAGCACTTGGGAGGCAGAGGCAGGTGAATTTCTGTGAGTTCAAGGCCAGCCTGGTCTACATAGTGAGTTCCAGGCAAGCTGGGGCTACAGGGAGACTCTCAAAAAGACCACAAAAAAAGAAAAAAAAAAAGAAGAAAGGAAAAAAAAAAAACAAAAAAGCAGTTTCTTTGTGATAATTTGAATTGGAATGTATTTAGTGACACAGTCTAGAATTCAGGAATTATCACTGTTGGAGTTAATCTCAGCTTTCATAGTTTTTTGTTTTTTTCTAGCATGTTCAAATTACTAACTAAAATATGACTCCCAAAAATTAATATATTCTGTAACTTATAAAAATATAAATCTTAAATGTCCTTAATTATATTTTTTGCTATAATTGATAGATTCTGTACCACAAGAGTATAGTAAAATTTTTTGCTTATTAAGCTCACATTATAGAGCTAGACATGGTGATGCACACTTGTAATCCTAACACAGAGGAGGCAAAGGCAGGATGATCCTGAGTCCAGGCCAGTTTAAGTTATATAGCAAGACACAGTCTCAAAAAATCAAGGACTAGGAATGTGACTTAGTTGTAGAATGCTTAGGTAAGATAGAATCCTCATCACTAACAGAAAGAAAAATAAAAAGCCTAGCATTAGGCTCTTAAAAATGATAGAGTAGCCAGGCGTGGTGGTGCACGCCTTTCATCCCAGCACTCGGGAGGCAGAGGCAGGCGGAGCTCTGTGAGTTTAAGGCCAGCCTGGTCTACATAGTGAGTTCCAGGACATCTGGTGCTACAGGGAGAGCCTGTCTCAAAAAGACAAAAAAAAAAAAAAAAATGATAGAGTAGCTGGGCATGATGACATACACCTTTAATCCCAGCTCTCGGGAGGTAGAGGCAGGCAGATCTCTGTGAGTTCAAGACCAGCCTGGTCTACATAGTGAGTTCCAGGACATCTGGTGCTACAGGGAGAGCCTGTCTCAAAAAGACAAAAAAAAAAAAAAAAATGATAGAGTAGCTGGGCATGATGACATACACCTTTAATCCCAGCTCTCGGGAGGTAGAGGCAGGCAGATCTCTGTGAGTTCAAGACCAGCCTGGTCTACATAGTGAGTTCCAGGACATCTGGTGCTACAGGGAGAGCCTGTCTCAAAAAGACAAAAAAAAAAAAAAAAATGATAGAGTAGCTGGGCATGATGACATACACCTTTAATCCCAGCTCTCGGGAGGTAGAGGCAGGCAGATCTCTGTGAGTTCAAGACCAGCCTGGTCTACATAGTGAGTTCCAGGACATCTGGTGCTACAGGGAGAGCCTGTCTCAAAAAGACAAAAAAAAAAAAAAAAATGATAGAGTAGCTGGGCATGATGACATACACCTTTAATCCCAGCTCTCGGGAGGTAGAGGCAGGCAGATCTCTGTGAGTTCAAGACCAGCCTGGTCTACATAGTGAGTTCCAGGACATCTGGTGCTACAGGGAGAGCCTGTCTCAAAAAGACAAAAAAAAAAAAAAAAATGATAGAGTAGCTGGGCATGATGACATACACCTTTAATCCCAGCTCTCGGGAGGTAGAGGCAGGCAGATCTCTGTGAGTTCAAGACCAGCCTGGTCTACATAGTGAGTTCCAGGACATCTGGTGCTACAGGGAGAGCCTGTCTCAAAAAGACAAAAAAAAAAAAAAAAATGATAGAGTAGCTGGGCATGATGACATACACCTTTAATCCCAGCTCTCGGGAGGTAGAGGCAGGCAGATCTCTGTGAGTTCAAGACCAGCCTGGTCTACATAGTGAGTTCCAGGACATCTGGTGCTACAGGGAGAGCCTGTCTCAAAAAGACAAAAAAAAAAAAAAAAATGATAGAGTAGCTGGGCATGATGACATACACCTTTAATCCCAGCTCTCGGGAGGTAGAGGCAGGCAGATCTCTGTGAGTTCAAGACCAGCCTGGTCTACATAGTGAGTTCCAGGACATCTGGTGCTACAGGGAGAGCCTGTCTCAAAAAGACAAAAAAAAAAAAAAAAATGATAGAGTAGCTGGGCATGATGACATACACCTTTAATCCCAGCTCTCGGGAGGTAGAGGCAGGCAGATCTCTGTGAGTTCAAGACCAGCCTGGTCTACATAGTGAGTTCCAGGACATCTGGTGCTACAGGGAGAGCCTGTCTCAAAAAGACAAAAAAAAAAAAAAAAATGATAGAGTAGCTGGGCATGATGACATACACCTTTAATCCCAGCTCTCGGGAGGTAGAGGCAGGCAGATCTCTGTGAGTTCAAGACCAGCCTGGTCTACATAGTGAGTTCCAGGACATCTGGTGCTACAGGGAGAGCCTGTCTCAAAAAGACAAAAAAAAAAAAAAAAATGATAGAGTAGCTGGGCATGATGACATACACCTTTAATCCCAGCTCTCGGGAGGTAGAGGCAGGCAGATCTCTGTGAGTTCAAGACCAGCCTGGTCTACATATCAAGTTCCAGCCAGCTGGGGTTACAGGGAAACCCTGTCTCAAGAAGACCAAAAAAACAAAAAATGATAGAGTAGCTTTTTATTCCATCTGTTTTTTTTATGTTTAAAGGCTTAGAATAATTCATGCTAAGAAAACAGGCAAAAGAGACACTTCAGGAGGCATTGATCTCGGAGAAGAGCAACATCCTTTGGGGACTCCTACTCCAGGACGCAAGCGGAGAAGGAAGGGAGGAGACAGTGATTATGATGATGATGATGATGATGAGAGTGATGACCAAGTTGATGAGGATGATGAAGATGAAGACGATAAAGATGACAAAAAAGGGAAAAAGACAGATGTCTGTGAAGATGAGGTAATCGAGCTAAGATTTATTTTTAAGACTTAGCTAGAACTGTATAACATACTGAAAAATAACACAGAATTTAATGCCACATGGATATGGATTTGAATTAAGTATCTAACGTTTACTTGCCTCAGTTTCTTCATCTGAAATTTTTTTTTTCTTCAGTGCTGGGAATTGAACTAACCTATGAGACTAATCTGTGCTAGGCAAGCTCTTTACCACTATGCTTCCAGAATGCAAATGAGAATCTCTTAAAATGTTTTGTGATGCTGGGCATGGTGGCACACACCTTTAATCCCAGCACCTGGGAGGCAGAAGCAGGCAGATCTCTGAGTTCAAGGCCAGCCTGGTCTACATAGAGAGTTCCAGGCCAGCTGGAACTACAGGGAGACCC